GGATGGCCCAGTTGGTTTAGAGGTGGTCATCCACACGGATGTCTCGAGATAGATCCCCCCTCAATGTCTTCCGAGTTGAGCATGTCGCACTAGTGCGGTTTACATCCCTTAATTCTGTGATTCGTAAGCTATTACACTGTGGAGGATTTACCCGTGCACATAAAATGCTCATCCGTAGGACAGAGCATATGACAGAGATTATAGCGACTGCGTATTATGACGGAGTTTTTTTTTAAAATTTTTTTTTTATGATAAACACAAATTGAATTACTATGGTCCATGTTGGTCCATGTTGACTTTTATTCAGTATAAAAATAGAAAAATAATTTGTGTGATAACCCCTAAAATTAAATGACTTTTATGTAACCAATAAAAAACAATCTTTTGTGTGATAAACGTCAAATTGAATGACTATGGTCCATGTTGAATTAATTGCTAACTTCTTCTTTTTTCAGTATTAATTTCTTGAATTCAATTTATTGTTGTACAATCTTCAACTATTGTGATACAATGAACACGTTTATGTTTTTCACTTATCCTAATAGGAAAATAGACATGTTGTGGTACCTAGTAATTCTTTCCTTTCAATTTATTTGTGAATTTAATTTGATATAAAATTTAAGTAAATATGATTTTTGAATTTTCTAATTTTAAATGAAAGATATGTTGAATGTACTAAAATATTATTTGATTTTGTATTTTTAAATATGTGAAAAAATTGGAATTAAGAAATTATATATATAAAAAAAGAATTATTCTTTTAAATTTTTTTTTTTTAAAATGAGACAAACAAATCGAATAGATAGATTTTAATAAGCTTGAAAGCCACATTCTTGACTAATTTAAAAGCAAGAATTTCAGTAAAAAAAAATTTTGGGTCAATTTAAAGTGTCATATACTGTCACACCCCAAATCCGGATGTGATGGCACGTGTCCATTTCCCACCGGACACGTCAGCCTAACCTAACCACAACGATAGAGAAGTAGAAATACGAGAATAAAAGATAATAAATAAGCGGAAGACTTTAATTAAGACTCAACACTACCCAAAATTTGGTTGTCACATGTACAAACCTCTAAATACAGAATTCAAATAAAAATATACAAGTCTCAGAGTATAGTTCTCGAATAGAACAAAACTGAAAGTAAAGATAACTCAAGGGCACGTCTGAAATGAACCGCTACCTCTCGAGTATGTCTCGAAGCTCAATTTGCTAAAGAAAATACTAAGCCGAATCTGAGAGAGCTGTCAACCTACACAATTGTGTAAAAGCAAGGGTGAGTACCGAAAACCACAGGTACTCGCAAGTAACTCTAAACTAAGCAAAACTAGCAGCTACAAACAACTCCTTTCAAACCCAACCGAACCACCGAAACTTCAATCTAGCAGCAAACCAACCAACCTATACTAAACAGATCATATTCAACAGTCAGAACCAATAGTATATTCTCATCAACCTCAAATCAACAAATAAGAGCAAGTAGATCAAATTCCACATAAGAAGGGTAAACCGATACAATCCACACATCACAGACAAAGATAAGGCAAATGCGATGCAAAATGCAATAATGATGTCATGTAGTCGTGATGCATGTCTGTCCTACGATACACATCTGTTGACGTAATCAGTCCGTGCTGAATACTCAAATCAAAACCCATGGGGGTCACATATGGACCATGTATCACCGCCGGAACCAGATCCCATCGGCATCCGAATCACTAGTCTCAACTGTGTCTCATATCCATCCATCCTCATATCAGTGTCTCAGAACTCATGCAACAGATAGTTCACACATGGGATGAATAATGAATATGCACATGTCATCAATCACAATCATATCACGATCACATCATAGTATTACACATCATCTGTCTCAATCACAACCATATCACGACTGCATCATAGTATTACATATCACCTGTCTCAATCACAACCATATCACGACCACATCATAGTATTACACACCACTTGTCTCAATCACAACCATATCACGACCACATCATAGTATTACACATCACCTATCCTAATCACAACCATATCACGACCACATCATAGTATTACACATCATCCGTCTTAACATCAATGTTTGTGTCAATCATAGCCTACTCATGCTCTTTTATCCTCTCAATATCAGTTAGCACATGACTTATTCAACAAATTCAAGTCACATATAACACATTTAGCTCGTTTTATTCCCTTTCATTTACAACAATTTCAATCAACAAATAAAACTCATCCTCAATCCCCATTACTCCCCAACACAATTAGGAAAGTAGTCATGCGTAGTCTAAGAATTTTACAAAGTTTGGAAGCCACTTGCCTTAAAACGAACTCCAAAAGTTACTTGACTTGAGCCTTTCCTTTCCGAGTAGAATCCGGATCACGATAATCTATTCAAACAATTATTCACAATCACAATTCGAGTCCAATGACACCAAAATCAAGAAATTTAGGGAAAAAGGGCAAAACGGTCCAAAAGTCTCATACCGGAAAATGATACCCAAATCTAGAAATTTTTGATGTAAAATGATCCTTAAAGTATTTGGAAGCTAATGGTGAAAACCAATTTGAAAACGGAGTTGAAATCAATTCACAAATTCAATTTGAAGGAAAATTCACGTTCTTGAAGAAACCTAAAATATTCGGATCCGAAACCCCGACTCGAAAATGAAATATCTCTTGAAAAACATCTTACCCATGCTTAGATAAGTTCAAATATGAAATTTCATCAAAAACGGAGTTAAGATCGACCTTGAAATTCTCAATTTATCAAACTTTAACTTTACCGGGAAAGTCCAAATTGTACGCGGTTAATATGATGAAAATAATCGATGAATCAATAATTTTATGTTAAAATCAGTTTACCCATAACATAAGGATCGTAAATATACCTTTTTCATCAAAAAGGGAGTCCAAATCAATAAAACCCCAATTTTTCCCAAGAGGTTTACGGATAGGAAAAAAAACCAGATAAAGAAATTATGAGAAATGTCGAATTGAAGATTGAATAATAACCCTCATATTAATTCAAGAAGAAACCCGTAAGAATCACTCCATTCTGATCTCTAGAACTCCCGATATGCTCAAAATACCAAATGAACACAGTCTGATATTTTTATAACAGTACATGGCCGTTATGCACCAGAAAAACAGCAATTAATCTTTCACTAAAAAGACCGTAATTTCCTCATACGATATTGAAATGAACCGATTCTTTTTTTGTAAATGTCTTAAATAATGATACGGACATGCTCGTTCAATCGGAGCTCAATTTCATGCTCGTTTGCCCAATCAAATATCATTTCTACTCGGTAAACAATTATTTCTTATTTGTGATAAAAGTCCAATCTCGGGCTAGCGAAAATGCACCCAAAATTTGCAGATAAGTCCTATAATTCATGCTCAAAATTTCAGAACCTTCGGAATAATTTTTCGACCTTTAAAACTAGTAATGAACCCTTTAGTTGCCACAATTTGCTGAAATAGTGTCAAAGCATCCAAGAAGCTTAAAAGCTCACCCAAAACTCATTTGGCACTTCCTGAACACAAACCAAATATGCTACTAGCTTGAAAATGACATTTCGGACTCAATGAAATCGTCGGAATTTGAATTCGAGGTCTCCTTGACCCGGTATCCGATAAGGCGTCAAGAAACTAACTTTAGGCTCAAAAACTCGAAATGCACTCGGGGACTCTAAAAATTCAACCAAGACTCATTCTAGACTTAGAATCACCCCCTGAATCCAACGGTGCCCTCGAAATTCCATTTCGAGCACCGAAACCTCGTTTGTTGACCAAAGTCAACTCTTGATCAAAATTTCACAATTTTTGCAACTTAGGACCTCAAATCTTCGTTTTAACTCCAAATTTGACTCCGTAAATTCTCATAGACCCGTTTCGACATTCTAAAACTGCTGGAATCGACGGAAATTCGATTCGAGTCTCGAAACTCCAAATGACTTGAAATAGCACTTTTAACCAAACTTTAACTCTTAAAAACTCAACTTTCCAAAAACTCAACTTTTCATCAATTTTCCTTCAAACCAACTTCGAAAATACAACAATTAGGACTCGGGGCAACTATTGGAAGGGGTAAAATGGTCATTTTATGAAAATTTCCAAAAATGACCTTTAGGGTCATTACATATACATTTGTTTAATCTTTTCCAGAAATATACACAGATAACTATTTAATTTTTTACCCACGTTAAAAAAAGTTGTACAAAGATACATATTATTTTATTCTGGTAAATAACTGAAAAAAGAAACTTTTTATGCTTTTACAAAGAACTAAAAAGATTAAGGTGCAAATCATTAAAAATGATAGGATAAGTCACAAAAGAGCGCATAAATTAGAGGTGCAAATCGCAAATTACTCTAATTCTTAGGATTTCTCCTCTTCTTCCCATTGTTGGTAGTTGCTGCTACTTACGTGTATTTTCAAAAACTGAAAACTAGTGTGGCCTCACGTACGTATTGGGGCGGAGCTACCCTATCCGTCCTTTCATCAGAAAATTATGTTGTATAGATAGATCAAATTTTATTGATATATCTATATTCAATATTATAAATCTCAATTTTTATAAAGATACATTTTAAGTATCTTTGAACTAATCTTATAGTATAAAACATTTTTTTTACATTATTGGTGCATTATATAAACTATACTCCTTAGGTGTACATAAAGTAAATCTTATAAATTGGATCAAATCTAAGAATCATTTAAATTGGATTTTCGAACCCCCATAGAATTGTAAAGAAGGTACTACTAGAGGCTCATGATTCCATCTTCAAAGTAACCCTCTTCCCCTCCCAATGTGCGTACACATCTTATGTCAATAAGTATAAATCAATAATATACTTCATATTAAGGAACCTTTGTTAGTCTTAATTCCCACATTACAACTAGAGAAACCCCAAAAATGGGTAAATTTAGAATGAGAATTGTACATTGATAAATATATCCCCTTTGTTATGGGTAAATTTAGAACTTGCAAATTTCAGAATATCTTACATATATTGATCATTATTATTAGAAAATAGAAATACATTCACAGAAGGAGAGTGGCATATATAATATATGTTTTTCATACACAACATTATTTATTTCACATGCTAGCAAGAACTAGCCGATATTGCCAAATATTTATCACACAAACAAACACATAAGTGGGTATAAAATCATGCATATATATATATATATATATATATATATATATATTGCATGTGTTTAAACCCACCAAATAACATAGATGATCTATTTCTTGAGAAGGTGACCCTCGATATCTTTGGTCAGATCAAGGGCAAAACCCAAAAGAACAAGTGGTTCTGGGGTTTCTTCAGTTTTCTTCTCGTACACAAATGTCCATGTAGTCCATTGCTTGTCGCAAGATGAAATAATGGTGAAAGAATTGTACAGGTCTAACAAATCTCCTCCAATTACTTTCCAAGTGATTGATTTCTTCTGAAGATCAACGGCATCAATCACTTGCTTAGCAATCTTATCTTTCCCATCTATAGTAAAAAAATAATTAAAAATACAAGAGATGTTACTCCGAATTAATGAACAACACAATCCCTCATAAAAGATTTAGTACATTCACAATAATATATTCATCTTATATCATATGTTTTTCATTTTCATTTCTCAAAAAAAGATCTACAATTCACAAAAATTGAACAGTCTACTTTTTTTTTTTCAAACCATTGGACATTGAGAAAAATATGGGAATTAGTAATGAAAATAGAGAGAGACAAAGTAGGAAAATGTAGGGAAAAATTATGCAAGAAATAATAAATACATATAAAGAGAGACAAAGTAAGGAAATGTATGTTACCGTCATTATACTTCCAGCTAACTACCGAACCAACTTTTATAGATCCACCTTCATGAATCTCAAAATGATTGATCTTACCACGACATATGTTGGGTATATGATGAGTATTAGTATGAAAAAGATCATGAATCAAGTGTCCTCCACATTTCACCTCGACAGAACCAATCAACTTGCCTTTTACACCCATATTTTTTCTTAAGTAAAGCTAAATTTTGTAGAAAGGAGGTGATGAGAAAATGTTTACAAGTTATAGTGTTTATATAGATTTTAATGTCTTGTGAAAACTTAGTAGAAAACATTATCCACGACATATATATATATGTTTCTCGTGGGGTTCGATAATTAGGGTTAGTTCATTTCTTGTATAATTAGGTTTTATATATTACTAATTTAAATAGAGAGGATATTGACAACACTTTTGAATTTGGAGCAAATTATTAATTTTCTTTTCGAACTATTGACATCCTTAAAAATATCACTCTATTTGACCAACTAAACATAGATACACACTCGATCTGCCACATGACATAGCAAGTTGTCTCAAACTCTTGTAGGAGCATTAGACTCTTAATAAAAATTCGAGTGAATTGTACGATTAAATCACCCCTAAACTTGACGAGAATTTAAGGGTGTATTTCACTCATGTTTCGGTGTATTTAAGTTTAGTTAGTCAAGTTATAAAGGAGTGTTTTTAAGATTGTCAATAATTTAGGAATAAAATTAATAATTCGCGTCAAGTTTAGGAATATATTTCTCTCATTAAATTATGATGTAGATAAGCTAATAATTGAGGTATATTCATTTTATGAACAATAATTTTACTATTATAAGAAGACAATTGTATGTTATTACAATTGTGTTAAAAAGTCATCTTTATCAAGCAAGTCAATAATATAACAGGAAATATAATGTACATCAAAAATTAAAAAAATTGGATGATGGTGATTTTGTCTCCTATATTTGCTACAATTTTATTTTATTTTAATTTTATTTTGCAGTAAACGTACACATATACAAGATTTTGTTATAGGATCATATGCAATATGTTTGTGCTAAATCTAGGAAAATAATTGTTTTATCCAGTGATGAGATTGCTTCACATTTAATTGAGAAGGTGACCCTCTATATCTCGTCAGGTATAAAACCCAATAGAACAAGAGGTTCTGGAACTTCTTATTCAGTTTTCTTTTCGTACATAAATGTCCATGTAGTGCATTGGTAGTCACATGATATGATAGCAGTGAAGAAATTGTACAACTCTAACCGATCTCTACCAATTACTTTTCAAGTGATCATTGATTTAGTTTGAGGATCAATGGCTTCAATTACTTGCTTTCAAATATAATCTTGTCTTTTCCATCTACAATCATTGAAGTCGAAAATATAAGAGATCATGTAAATAGGCTACTTAATCTATCAAAACCAGATAAAAATATAAAGAATCACAATTACATTATTTTAGCTCATTTCTTTAATTAGGTTTTTCATTTTCTCCAATGAAATATGTAAAATATGTGTATGATGTCTTACGATATTAGCTAAAGCAAGCAAAGACAGATTCAAGATTTAAATTTGATGAGTGCAGTATTTATATATTTACAACTGAACCCATTTCACTTGAGCAAATATGAGTTTAGAACTTGATTAGTCCATACAATTCTAGTGATTTTTCATATAATTTTTATGTTGCGTATAATAATATCACCCATTGAAACTTATAGAGTACATAAACTTTTGGAAGCAAGTAATATGATCTTAAAAGTTAAACACACATAAACGTAAAAAAATTGATTCATATGTAGAGAGAGGGGAAGTATGTATATATTATCGTCGTTATATTTCCTGTTAACAACTGTATCAACCTTTATGGTTTCACCTTCAAGAAACTCAAAACTTAGTATCTTGCTAGGACTTATATTGGGTATATGAGGAGTTTTGATATGAAAAATGCCATGAATCGAGTGTCCTCCGCACTTCAATTCTATTGAAGCAATTAACTTACCTTTCACATTCATATTCTTTTTTAGGTATAATAAAAAACTTTTGCAAAGATAATGGTCATAAAATAATTAAAAATTGTAGTTTTTATATAGATTTAATTAGTTTTACAAAAAAATTATTATAAATATTATAAGACATGATCCAGGACATATCATGGAAAATTAGAGCTAGGTTGTTTGCCAATTATGGAGAAAATGCCAAAATGGTTCATTATCTTTGGTGTTAGGTTTTGAATAGTCTCATAAGTGAAGGATTACTTGGATAGTCTTGGTTCTCGATATGGAAAATTCTTTGATAGGGAGCATTTTCTCTTAATGAAATTTTACGCGGCACAAATTTATAATAATTGGGCTCTAATATGAATACGGAATACTGAATGAAAATAAAAAAATATATTGATCTGTCTCACTTTGTCCTTTCCCACCTTCTTTTCGTTTCGATTTGTTTTATTTTCTCCTTTACTTATTTTTTTCCTCTTAATATCCGTTAGTCTTAGTTGGCTCCGTTAATATTTTTGTTTTCTCTACTCTTTTTATCGCTCGTTTCTCCTTAAAAAAAATTGTCTAGTTTATCGTCTTTTCTTTTTGTCTCTTTCTCTATATTAGTCTATTGTCTCTTTTTTTTAATTCTTTCTAAAAAAAATAAACTTTTTTACATTTATTTTCCTTTTGAATGAATGGATGAACTTGTCTATTAAAGTGTGTGCGCGTGTGTGCGTATGTCCACACGCGTTTGCGTGCATGCGTGTATGCGTGTGTGTGCGAGCATCATTGAGGACTGATGAGTTTTTTTTTATATATATGAATGAACTAGCCATCTATAATATCAAATCACTTTATGATATAAACCGTATGAGTGTCATACAAACTCAAAAGATCAAATACAAAAGTCATTCATCTGGTATATATTCATTAATCTCAAAAAGACATAGGGAGGTTATATGCAGATTATAGGTGTACTAGTGGATTATATTAGGGCAATTAATAACATATATACCATAGAGTGAAGATCAGATTAAGAATAGTGAGCGGTAATTCAAAATATTTTTCAATCGTGATAGAGTTCCATTACATATCAACATTTAACTTATTCATTTTTTTCTTAGTGATAGACAAATCAATGTGTCATATTCAAGGAATGTGTCGTATTGTATGTTATTAAAAAAAATGAGATAGTATTAATTGTTAAGTCGCGTGGTAAAGTTAACAATAGGCTAAAAGTTTAGAAACATACTTCAGAATTTAAGGTTTTAGGTTACACTTGACTAAGTGAGCATACCTAGAGTGCAGGGTTTAAAGATATAACATATGAAGTGGGGGTAGAAGTAAAAATCGATACACAAGTCAAATTCAAGAAAATTTCAAGTTTATTGGATATATAATCCAAGAAAATGAAGAAATTAACAATGATTTCACACATTGAAGCAGTGTGGGTATTTTGGAGTCTCGCGTCCAGAGCACTGTGTGATAACAATGTGTCTCCAAGAAAAAAGGTAAATTTATAGACTTGTGATTAGACCTATTTTGTTATATGGAGTAGAGTAATGACCAGTCAGATAATGAGAAAGATAAAGATAGTGAAGATGAGGAAAATCAAAATGAATATATGAACACACTAAGAAAAATAAGATTAGGAATGAACTTATATAGGACAAGGTGAAAATGACCTTTGTGACAGACAAGATGATAGAAGAATGATGACATTGTCCATGTATATGAAGAAGAGGAGTGTGAATGCACCAATAAGAAGTTGTAAGAGGCTAACTATAGAAAGTTTTTGAGAGGCTGATTATATAGTGTTTTATGACTAGTCTTGGAGTTTATTAGATACATAAGAGATGACACATATTCAACATATTGAAGACATTATCCTAGATAAAAATGTATTCACATTTAGGATATTGATAGAAGGATATAGAGTAGAAAGACAAGTATTGTCGAATTTTTTACCCGATTATATTACCTGCATGAAATGTGATTAGATTCCACTAAATTGAATTAAGGATCCATTTGGATTGACTTTATTTTTTTTGGCTTTAAACAAGTGTTTATAAGTACTTTTTGACTTACTCAAACACTTCAAAACTACTTATAAGCTATTTGATTTTAAAACACCTAAAATAAGTCAATCCAAACGGGCACTAGTCTTCCCACGTCTTTTGTCCTTTCCCACCTTCTATCCTTTGCGATTTGTTTTCTTTTCTCCTTTTATCCATTTTTTTCCTCTTAATTTCCTTTTCATTTAGTTGGCTCCGTTTTTTATTTTTTGGTTTTCTTTCCTCTTCTTTATTTTATTTCTTTTAATTTTCCTTTTTTTTTGTTAGTTTTATCTTCTTCTCTTTTTTTCACTTTCTCAATATTAGTTTGTGGTCTTTTTTTTTTCAAAAAAATAAAATAAAGTTCTAAATAGTGTATAAAAATAAAAATATTAGGGAATTATTATTAGACTAATAATATGGAAAAGATAAAATATTAGACTATCATAAGTAATTTTACATAATGTTGAAGTCACTAATTCATTGCTTAGAATCTAAATTAATAGAAACTAAATTTTATAAGAAAATATTCTTTTGCAAACGAAAATAAAATTTATTTCTAAACGGTGACTCTACTTTTTATTATTTCCTTTATATATAAAATTTGGTAAAAATAATATAATAAAAATTGAATTAAGATTAAACTCTATTTATTATTTAAAAAAATCATAATTGTATTTTCCTTCTGAAAAATTACAGAAATCACATACTTTTAAGGCAAAATTACAATCTACCCCTTAAAAGTTTATAATTATAGAAATCCCTCAAACGGATACAATAATATAAGCGCTGATACATTAATCTGATGCGCATGATACATTAATCGTTAAGTAAGATACATTACATTTTATACATGATACACTAATCTGATGCTCGAAAATGAGGGATTTTGGAAATTTGTAAAACTTATAGGGGATAATGGTAATAAGTTAACTAAAAGATGGGTTTTCTGTAATTTTTCCATGAATGAATATGTCCATTAATCATGTTATCTTGTCAATATATAGTATAGGAAAAGGGTCTGATGTACTTCACAACTTTGTCATTTAAAGTTGATATATCCTCGTTATGAAAGTGACTCATATATACCCTTACTATTATACAAATGACTCACATATTCCCCTATCGTTATAAAAGGAGTTCATGTATACCTTTCATCTAATGGAAGTGAAAA